GGGTTAACTCCTGACTCTAGGTTATTTTCTATCTTGCCGATTTTGCGCAAGTGTTTCTTCTTCATTCTGGACGAAACTCAATTCCTTGAACAATGAAGCCGTGTTTCCAACCGAGATGCCTAAACTCTATCAATTGTGCTTCAACATTTCCTGTATCATTGAAAATGTTTCCCATTTTTAATTCCATCCATCCATCACCTCTTTTCAATGGTAGCCTCGCTCTAGGTCCTAGTCCTGAAAAAGGGACAACTTTAACTCGTTGCTCAGCTTCATAGTCACTCTCAGAATCCACAAATCTAACAACTGTCTTAACATTTCTAAGGCCATAAAATCCATCTTCCCATTTGAACACTAGATAAGCGAAATGTATAACTAGTTCTTTTCGACAACATTCGAGTTCTAATTTTTCGTCGGATATCAAGCCAACTGATCCAAAAGTTTAGCACTTCAGAGAATCTACACAAAATTTACACTTCCTCAGTAATTATATTTAGTAATGTAATTTCTTTCAAAATCAAACAGAAAATATATATAACCTGGAGTTTGGGTGAGATAACCATTCCCAATACTCTAGTGACCACCCCATTTAATACCAAATTCTCGTGCTGCGACCATAAAAAATTTCTTCCCTATCTTCTTATCTAGCTAAAAACTCTATATGACAGACCAAATCATAGAGACAAAACATTATGATTTAAAAAAAAATGAAAAGGACTAAAAAGGCACTAGACTACTCTTACTGTGTCTAATTGGGATCACAACTGCAGTCACTTGACATGACTAGCTCTCTAAAAGTCATCCTGGATCCAAACCACCTAACAACCCTTATGAATGGAACATGCTATTCATTGGCCTATTCTTCTCAGGTCGGGTTGGGCCGGTCATGGACAGACCCTACCCACTAGACACGACTTCCATTGTACAACCTTTACCTACTAAACAATCATATACATAGGACCCCTTTTCATTGGCATTAAGTCGAATATTATTGTATTCACGAAAATAACACATTCACAACTAAAATAAAAAGTTTAGAAAGATCTGACCCACATTTGATCACTCAGTCATTATTGGATAAGATTGTGGTCCTTCTGATATCTATTGGATGGAGTTAGAATTTTCACTAGGAGAATTCAAAATATAAAGAATGTAAACAGAAGAAAAAGCCAAGGAAATTCGAAATATAGTATATATATATATATTTATATATATACATACACACACATAATTTCTTTTACCTATCTACACAATGTAATTGTCTAGCAATAAGGTATAAATTGACACTATTCGGATAAAAGTGGCTTGGTTAGGTGATAGAGTGTTTGAGCTAGTGAAGTGTGATCTCACCATTAAATCATAATTTATAAAAAAACAAACTTCTCATGAAAAAAAGACAAACACAAAAAGGAGGGGGGAAATGAAGAAATCATGACAATTTGCCTCTATCAAGAAGAATCTGAAAGTTACAGAGATTGAAGTAAAGTTGTTTCTTGGAAGGAAAACCATTAGAGAGCCTGATCTATAAAACAATTTGTTCATAATCAGATGGAAAAAATAGTATCTCCTAGACGACGTCAGATTCTGCTGCAGACATGAATGTTTGTGAGACAGCTTAAGACCTAGCTACATCTTTCGGCGATGTTAACGAGAGAATTTTCATTATGCAACCTCTAGGAGTATCTCACAAACATTCATGTCTGCAGCAGAATTTGACATCGTCTGGAAGACATTATTTTTGACATCTGATTATCAACACATTGTTTCTAGATCAGGCTCTCTAATAGTTTTTCCTTCCAAGAAACAACTTTTCTTCAACCACTATAACTCTCCGATTTTTCTTTATAGAGGCAAATTGGTATGATTTCTTCATTTCCCCCACTTGTTTTTGTGTTTGTCTTGTTTTCCATGATAAGTTTGTTTTTTATAAATTATGATTTGATGGTAAGATCACAACTTCACGAGCTCGAACACTCTGTCACCCGTGATCAAGCCACTTTTATCCAAGGGGTCTCAATTTATACCTTATTGCTGGAAAACTACATTATGTAGTTAGGTAAAAGAAATTATGTATACATATACTATGTTTCGAATTTCCTTGGCTCTTTTTCATTTGTTTACTTTCTTTATATTTTAAATTCTCTTAGTGAAAATCCTAACTCCATCCAATAGATATCAGAACGACCACAATCTTATTCTGTGATGTCTGCGTGATCAAATGTGTGTCTGATCTTTCGAAAGTTTTTATTTTAGTTTTGAATGTGTTATTTTCATGAATAGAAGAATAATCGACTTAATGGCAATGGAAAAGGATCCCACTTCTATGATTGTGTAGTGGGTAAAGGTGGTATAGTGGAAGTTGTGTCTAGTGTGTAGGGTCTGCCCATGACCGACCCAACCCGACCTAAGAACAACATGCCAATTAACGGCATGTTCCATTCATAAAAATTGTTAGGTAGTCTGGATCTAGGCCGACCTTCAGGTAGCTAGTCCTCTCAAGTGAGCGTGGTTTGTCCGTTGTGATCCCAATCGGACACAGGAAGAGTGGCGTAGTGCCTTTTTCAGCCTCTTTGGTTTGTTTTTAAATCCTAATGTTTTGTTTTTGTGATTTGATATGTCAAATAGAGTTTTCACTGGATAAGAAGATGGGGAATAAATGTTTTATGAACGCAACATGAGAACTTAGTATTATATGGGGTGGTACACCAGAGTATTGGGAATGTATGTCTCGTCCGGACTCCATGTTTTATATTTGTGCGGTTCCTTTCCATGTACTATAAATTTTAAAGAAAGTACTTTATTAAATATAACTACCGAGGAAGTATAATTTTTTTGTAGATCGTCTGAAGTGGCTAAACTTAATTTGTTCTGTTAGTTTGATATCCAAGGCAAAATTAAAACTTGAATATTGTTGAAAAGAACCAGTTATTTTGCTTATCTATTTTTTAAATTAGAAGATGGATTTTATGTCCTTAGAAATGTCAAAGCAGTTTTTAGATTTGTTGATTATGAGAGCGACCATGAAGTAGAGAGGCGAGCTAAAGTTGTCCCTTTTTTAGGATGAGGACCTAGAGCGAGGCTACCCTTGAAAAGAGGGGATGGATAGATGAAACAAAAAAAAGGGAAACTTTTTCAATGATATAGGAGCAACAGAAATGTTGAAGCGTGATCGATGGAGATTAGGCATTGCAGTTGAAAACACAGTCTCATTGTTCAAGGATTTGAGTTTCGTCTAGAATAAAGAAGAGAAGGATCCACCTCTTACTATGCCTGTTTTTTTGGTCACATTTGGATTGACTCGAATAATTCTTATCTATGTTGTCCTTCCTGAAGAACGTATGGAGAGAGAATAGGAATTGGTTTGATAATGTGTAGTTGATAAACAAGAATCAGTTTTTTTATTAAGGTATTGAATGTATTATCAAATATTCCAAATATTTGTTAGATGAACAACCATATTTGTGCAAGCTCCTACTACCATTTTAATTGTTCTGTATAATGGCATAAATTTATTTATCTAGTCAAATTGTGAAATCACATGCATATGTTTTTGGAACATCATATCTGGAGGTTTTTGTTGCGGTAGAATCACTCGGCATGGGATCAGCTACAGTGTTGCATTCTCTTCCCTAAAACGTGAGTATCTCTCAGACTTCTCCATTTATATTTCCCTACGGGTAAAAAAATGTTAAATGTTCATTATGAAATCTACAACATTTGGTAAGCCGCAAGCTATGATATCAGAAGACACTGAATATGCCCAAACGAATAGCACTGAGAAAGAAGACTCCAATAGTGAACTGTATTCCATCACCTCAAGTAACTAAGTATCCAGGAAATGTTATTTATCAACTAGCAATGCTAATCCTTCATTTTGAAAAGATATGTTACTTTCATGATACTTGCAAGAAATGAAAGCTCAGAGTGCTACTGAAGATAAATTGGTACTTCTTAAGGGCGTAAATGGAGCTTTCAGGCCTGGTGTTTTGGCAAATTTGTTGGAAGTAAGTGGTGCTAAAAAAACATTGAAGGATGTATTCGCTTGAAGAAATACCGGGGGATATATTGAGGGTGACATCAAACTTCCGGCTATCCTAAGAAGCAAGACACATTTAGCACGTATATCTGGATACTGTGACCAGAATGACATCCATTCACCTTAGTATACTCATCTTGGCTCTGTTTACTTCATGATGTTGACAAAAAAACAGGAGAGGTTGAATTCATGTAAATATTTCCTATTTATTTATCCTCGTACAAAATTTTGTTGAGGAAGTCATGCATCTTGCTGAGCTTCGACCACTAAGATTAGCCTTAGTTTGTTTTCCAGGGGTCGACGGCCTCTTAGCCGAACAACTCAAAAGGTTGACCATTGCAGTGGAGCTAGTGCCTAACCCCTCTATCATTTTCATGAATGAACCAACCTCAGGGCTAGATGCAAGAACCACTGTTTGTATCGTCCGTCTGCGTAGTATCAACATTTTTGTTGGAAAGAAAAAGATAATCAAAAGGAAAAGTGAGTAGAAAGAGAGCAAAAGAGATAAAAGTTACTGCAAACTTTTTTGAATTTTATTAATTAATAAAAGCAAAATGACCTGCTTATAAATAGGCTTACCAAAAAACTGAAAAATACTAAAATCTAGGTTCGCTAGCCCACTAATTACTAATTAGCTACTAATCTGCCACAATAATTAATCTTGCTAAGAGAAAGGAAACTAACTAAACAACTCCCGGAGACTTGGTCAAGTTTCTTTTGAATCACGTTTCAACCCCCACCCCTTGATTCAAAACTGCAAACTACAAGTTGACCTCTGAAGAACTCATGATTTGCTTGGGGAAGTAACTTCGTGAAGATGTATGTTGCTAGCTCAATTGTATCACAAGACTTCAAAGTAACTTCTCCAGTAGAAACAAGACTTCGAATAATGTGATAGCGAATATATATGTCCTTTGTTCTACTGTGGAATACTTTCTTCTTCGACATTGCAATAGAAGATCTATTGTCACAAAAAAATCTCAGTTGCACCAGTTGGTTTCTGATTAAAATCAGAAGCAAGTCTCCTTAACCAAACTTCTTGACAAGCTACAAAAGTTGCTGCAATATATTCATCCTTTAGAGTATATAAGGCCACCAATTCTTGCTTCTTTGAACTCCATGAAACTGCTTCAGATCCAAGATTAAACAAGAAACCATATGTGATCTTTCTATCATCAATGTTTCCTACGTAGTCATTATCAGTAAAGCCAATTAATGTGAAATTTGTTACCTTAGAATACCAAATTCCATGATATGTTGTCCCAGCGATATATCTCAATACTCTTTTTGCAGCTCCAGGGTGAAGCTTACTTGGATTGTTCATAAATCGCGTTATGACGCCAACAGAGAAAGAAATGTTTGGTCTTGTATGAGAAAAGTAGTTCAAACCACCAACCAAACTTCTAAAATAAGTCGCATTTGTCATTTCAGAATCATTATCACGACACAAATTCTGATTAATAGTCATCGGCGTAGCAACAACATTGCAATTTAGCATATTGAACTTTTCAAGAGATCTGTTGCATATTTTCTTTGTGAAAGAAATATTCCATCAACTCCCTGTTTCACCCCAAGACAAAGAAAATAATGCAGCAGACCCTAATAAGACATCTCAAAATTCTTCATCAATGAAGTGTTTAAATTCAGTGACAATAGACTCACTCAAACCCATATATATCATATCGTCAACCTAAATACATACAACTAGAAAACCATTTTTGCCTCCTCTTTTTATATAAAGAGTAGGCTCATTGTTGCTCCTTTGGAAGCCACTCTCCTGGAAATAAGAATCAATTTTGAAGTACCATGCCCGCGATGCTTATTTTAAGCCATAAAGTGCCTTTTTTAACTTGTAAACCTTATCTTCTTTTCTATTAACTACAAAACCTTTAGGTTGTGAGACATAAACCTCCTCTTCCAAATCACCATTTAAAAAGGCGGATTAGCATCAAATTGGTACACTGGCGAATTTAATTTAGCAGTCAAGGCTAAGAAATTTCTCACTTTTTCAAAGCGGGCAATAGGAGAAAAAGTTTCGTCGAAGTCAATACCTTGTTGTTGGAAATAACCCTTCGTGATGAGCCTTGACTTGTGTTTTTCAACGCTGCCATCTGCATTATACTTGGTTCTAAACACCCATTTAAGCCAATTGGCTTTCTTTCCTTGTGGAAAATTTGCCAAGTCCCATGTTTCATTCTTTTGAAAAGCCATCAACTCCTCTTCCATAGCCTTACACCATTTATCCTCTTTTTCAGCATCTTCAAAGAAAGTAGGATCTGAAAAACAAGTAAAGCAAAAGTACAAGATGTATTGTTAGCATATCTAGGTTTTTTTTTTCCTATCTCTTGTTAATCTTCTCAATGGAGTTGGCTCAGTGAAAGCTTTTTCCAATATTGGAGAAGTTGTTGGTGCAATCGATTAGGTAGTCGATGGATTTCCCAAGAAAGGATCTACTACATACTCTTGATCAATAATATCGTCAGAAGGAAACAATTGAATGTTTGAACTTTCATTTGTGGAATTAAAGTTCCAACTTCCAACTTCCATCTTCATTAAACACAACATTTCTATTGATCTTAATTCTCCCACTCACTGGATTATATAACTTAAGCCTTGGATTGTGTGTTATATCCTACAAAAATACATTTTCACATTCTTCATCAAGCTTATGTCGAGCTTGTGAATTTATCAAGGCATAATCTATATAACCAAAGACGCGTAAGTGGCTTACCTTGGACTTGTTACCTCTCCAAGCTTCATATGGTGTTTGATTAAACACTGTCTTAGTGGGAGAAATATTTAGAAAATAGACAGTCATGGCAACATTTTCAGCCTCAGTACACCTCCACCTTCCATCATGTTTTTGCCCATCTCGACAATTGTGTAGTTCTTTTGTTCTCCTACACCATTTTGCTCTAGTGTATAAGGTGATGTGAGTTCTCTGTGTATCCTCACAAAAGGAACTGAATTCTTTTGACATAAACTCACCACATCAATCTATCCGAAGAGTTTTGAGTCCATATCCATTTTGCCTCACAACAAAAGTTTTAAATTTATTGAAATTATCAAAAGTTTCACATTTAAATTTCAATACATATATCTAACTCATACAAATATAATCATCATTAAAAGGTAGAAAGTATTGACTTCCCCCTAAGGACTCAACACTCATAAGACCGCACAAATCAACATGTTCTAACTCAAGACAAATAGAAGCTCTTCAAGACTTGCCTACACGAAAACACTTTCCATAAACATAACTTTCACAAAAATCAAGATTCTCAACTTTTGGCAACCAAAAAACCATTTTCTGTTGGCTCAATTACTTCAATCCATTAACATTTAAATGCCCTAATGCAAATGCCATAGTCTAGTTTCATTATATTCACTAGCTACCATAGTACAACTCTCAACCATCGAAACTTCTAAAGGAGACATTTTATTGTTAGCCATTGAAACTTTAGCAATGGTTTTCCCAGATTTGTTATGTTTAATAGTGCAAACACCATCGTCAAAATAATTGAGTATCTGCTAGTCATTAGTTTTCCAATGCTAACCAAATTATGAGATAGACTAGGAACAAATATCATGTCTTCTAAAATCTTAGCATTACCTTGGTTGGTCGTAATGCTAATAGTACCTCTGCCTTCAACCTTATTCTTTTTGTTGTCTCCTAGCGTTACGTCTAATTGTTTCAACTCGTCAAGCTCCTTGAACAATGATCTTGTTCTAGACATATGATTTGAACAACCACTATCCAAAAACAAGAAATCATTAGGAGTTTCTTATTCACAATAAAATGCCATTAACAACATACTATCATCGTCATTTTTCTCAACAAAGCCTGCTTGGTTATTCTCATCCTTCTGCGTTTGCCAACAATAAGCTTCTTTATGACCTAATTTTCTGCAGTAGTTGCACAGAAACATCCTAGTATGCTTCTCTTCATTTGAACCTCCTCTATCTCAGTTTCTTCCTTGGCCTCTTTCTCAAAAACCACCTCAGCCTCTTCCATGATTTGCAAAGTTTTCTAGCTTATCTATCTGATGAGTGGGCTCTCCCTTCACTTGAAATGCCTTTTCTTCATTTTTTTCATGTGACCTTAGGAGCCTCTCTTCATGAGCTTGCAAGGAAATCATTAGTTAATCCAAAATATAATTAGATAAGTCATGAGATTCCTCAATCGCAGAAACAATATGTTCAAACTTTGGAGTAAGACTCCTTAAAACTATTGCTACAATAGTTTGTTAAGATATATTTTCACCATAAGACTTTATTTGATTAACAAGGGAAGAAACACTAGATAAATAAGTTTCAACAAATTCATTACTTTTCATAGAGAGAGTTTCAAAGTCATGATGGTAAGTTTGCAATTTTACCGTAATCACTTTAGCTTAACCTTGAAATTCCTTCTTCAAAATTTTCCATGCCTGCGAAGAAGTAGTTGCTGCTACAATTCTTGGATAAATTGTGTCATGAACTGCTTGTTGAATCAGGAATAGCACTTTGGCATCCTTCTTTTTTATGTCTTTCAATTTTCCGTGTCTTCGTTAGAGTCTGATTGATCCACGAAGCCTGCTTCAACTAACTCTTTAACTCCTAGTGATTTGGAAAGAGTTTACATTTTGATACTCCAAAAATCATACTTTTCACCACTAAAATTGGCATGAGTTGCTGGGAAGATGATGAAATACCATTTGCTATTATTTTCCCTCACAATTCACACAACTTCCAGAAAGGAACCTTGCTCTGATACCAGATTTGTTGGAAAGAAAAAGATAATCAAAAGGAAAAATGAACAGAAAGAGAGCAAAAGAGATAACAAGTTACTGCAAACTTCTTTGAATATGATTAATTAATAAAAGCAACAAGACATGCCTATAAATAGGCTTACCAAAAAACATAATGTCACGCCTCAAGCTACCCCCGAGACGCGGACACGGGACCTAGGACCACAAGTGATCCATCATTCTTTACGTGTGTTGATCATTTTATATTTTGACACCGCATAGTTAGATATTTTACCCCACCATAGTGTGTATGGTGGAATGTGCCCCCTATGGTAGCTAGTCATGTCAAGTGAGCGAAATTGGTCCGTTATGAGCTTAATCAGACACAGTAAGAATAGGCCAGCCTTACCCTTTCATTATATAAGGTAGCGCCCTTTTTCCTCCTTTTTGGTTTGTTTTATATACTAATGTTGTGTCTAATTTGATTTGTCAAACAGAGCTTTTCGTTGGATAAGAAGACGGGTAAGAAATGTTTTATGGTCACAACACGAGAGCTTGGAATTGAATGGGGTGATACACCAGAGTATTGGGAATGGTTATTGTAAAGTTATGACACCTGAGCCTAACTCAACCCCAAAAGCTAGCTCATTGGGGGGGGGGGGGATTGTCCAAATCCATATAAGGAGACCGCTAGTTCGTTCCCCAACCAATGTGGGACGTTTACCCACTCTAATACCCCCTTTTAAGCCCATGCCCGACTGGAGTGTGGACCAAGAGTCCAAACGGGGATGGACCTGGCTCTAATACCATGTAAAGATATGGCACCTGGGCCTAACTAAATACCAAAAGCTAACTCATGAAGCATGGTTTGCTACAATAGGTCTAGTAGTAGATGATTCGATGCAGAATGCGTTTAAAGTCAATTTTTCTCCCTACCCTTTCCTCGTAACTTAAAATATTCAAATCGAACAAGCTCATAGGTGACTTTTTAAGTTCTATAGCTATTTCCTCTCTAGAATTAAGTCTTCTTTGTCAATCTTTTCAGTTACTAATTTGATTTCATTCTAGAATTGAAGGGAGTGATATTCATGAAGAATTATGGGTTAGAACCCTATAATTCATGAAATTTGTGGTGAAGCATGTTGGTTTGGTCCGAACTAGAGTAACAAAAGAGGTAACACCATCACTAGCAAGACATGATGTGTATAGACTATCGACAGTTGAATAGGGTCAGCATTCAGAACAATTATCCATTTCCTCAGATGGATGACCTTTTTGACCAATTGCAAGGTGCAACGGTTTTCTCTAAGTTTGATTTAAGGTCTGGTTACCATCAGTTAAAGGTTGAGGTGGTTAAGAATTGGGTTCGACCAAGTTCTATGATGGAAATTAGCAATTTTGTGGGGCTCGCTACCTACTATTGTCACTTGTGGTATGAATTGAGTCCAATTGGTATCTCTCGATTCCAATTGAACTAGATGTCGTAGTCCTGGCTGAAGGGACACAAGCAAGTTAATGGAACTGAGAAGGTTCCAATTAGTATCTGGCCTTATGGGTCGTATAAGGCATAGATGATTAGTAATGGTCATCTATGGAACGAACTAATTAAGGAATTTGGACTTGTCTGCAAGTTGTAACTGCTTGAGTATCGTGAAACTTGTTGTGAAAAGAAAGTCATCACGATATTAGGTATAAGGGTCTAGATAAATTACGATGTGGTTGTAAGCGAGAAATCTGG